CCGCCGCCGCGCCGCTCCGCCCCGCCCCGCCACGGGCCCCGCCGCGAGGACACGCCCCCCGCCCGCATGGCGGGGGGCTATTGGCTGTGCTCGTCGCGAGAGGCGGGGCGAGGAGCCCTTCCCGCGTTCCGATTGGCGGGAGGGGGAGGCGGCGGCGGGGCAGCGAGCCGCGGACTGGGGGCGGGGGAGGTGGGGGTTCGGTGCTCCCGGTAAGGACGAGGCGCGGGACCGCGGCGTGAGAACAGCGCGTTTATTGCGGCGGCCGGCGCTAAGTGCCGAACTTCTTCTGCTGCACGGGCGGCGGGAGCTCCGCGCTGATGTCCACGGCGGGCCGCTCCACCGTCACCAGGCAGCGCTCGTCCAGAAGGTCCGCGAACAGCAGCGGCTGTGGGCACAGCGGTGTGAGCGCAGGGAACGCGGCAGAGCACCGAGGGCAGCGCTGCCAAGGGCGCTCCCGGGGAGGAGATGCGCGCAGGGACCGCGCTGCTCACCTGGAACTTCTTGCAGATCTTGAAGGCGTGGAGCTGCCGGCGCCGGGCGGGCTCTGAGAGCTGCTTCAGTGTGCTCTGGTTCACCAGCAGGGTGTTGTTGTCAGGCAGGGGCTGCGGGCACGGCCCATGTCAGTGCTGCAGCTCGGGCACCAAGCCCTGTGCCCACCCCCCGCAGTGCTGCACACCCCCCCGCCCTTCCCTTTGAGCCAGCACAAGCAGCCCCTGCAAAGCACGCCCCAGCAGTGCCCTTCTCAGCTCACCAGGGACTTGTCCAGGACACACAGCATGTAGACGTCGTGCAGCAGGATCTGCGAAGTGTTCTTGGGGTTGAAGGCAATGTGGGTGATGGGTGAGTCCCTCTCCAGCCAGAGTTTGTGCAGCCCGCTGTTCTGCACCATGCGGCTCCAGGCCGTGTACTGCTTCTCAGGGATGCTGAACTCAAAGAGCTGTGGGGCAGGAGAGAAGATGGGTCCCCATCATCAGCCCAATGCCAACACACAGCCGGTCCCAAGCAGCACGAGGCTGCCACAGGCACAGCTCCCACCTGCTGGTCCGAGTAGGAGATAAAAAGGTTGTTGGTTGCTGGGTGGATGGCGAGGGCTGTCACCGCGCAGCTGTAGGTGGGCACCGTGCAGTGGTGCTGAAAGGCAGAAGGACAACACTCTGCCCCACTTGTCCTCTGTCACCCGCCAGGACCTCCCCCAGTGCCCAGCTCCAGGGACACCACAGAGTGCCCCACACAGAGCCCTGCCTGTACCTTGAAGTGTTTCAGGCTGTAGATATGCACCTCCCAGTCCCCGCTGACCGCAGCCAGCCAGTTCCCATCAGCGCTCGATGCCAGCAGGTAGACAGCTTCCCGGGTCCCTGAACAACACCACACACAAATGCTACACAGACACAAGAAACCCTTAAACTATTCCGAGGTGTCCCAGACCTAGGGCAGCACCCTCAGCCGTGTGCCCACAGGGGCCATGGTGCCTGCTCCCTACCTGTGGGTGGGCGCAGCGTGTGCAGGTGTTTGCAGCCTCCCGGTTCCAACAGCTGCACCACATGGACAGAGCCTCTGTCAGAGGCGACGAAGAGTCTGCCTGAGTCAGAAGCACACTGCAGCTGGTAGGCTGGGAGCAGCAGCTTGGGCACGCCAGGGACCTTGCAGGGGGAGAAGGCAGCACTGGCAGTCACACTGCTGATGAGCAGCCCCGCGGCTGCTGACCCACGCATTGTGCTACCAGCAGCCCCAGCTCCCTGTGAGCCCCCCAGCCCTCACCTTCTTGACGCTGATGCTGTCACCCTCGTGCTGCACACGGTAGAGGTGGAAGCGAGAAGCAGTGCTGTAGGCAATCCAGCTGCCGCAGGGTGAGACGCAGCTGCAGTAGATGTGCTCAGGACCCTGGAGATGTGGAGGTGCTGAGTGGGGTCTGCAGAGCGCCCTGGCACCCGCAGCTTGGCCAATGGAGGAAGCAAAGCTGCCAAGCACAGGTGCCAACCCCAGTTTAGCCTTACCTTGCTCTTGAGCTGCAGGAGGTGCTCTGGCATGCGGCTCACAGGAAGGACCTCTCCATCCTTTCCTGGAATGACAACCAAACATCAGCAACAACAGAAACCATGCAGGCCCTGGTGAGAATTGCAGGGGACCCAGGGGGCATGGTGCCAGACACCAGGATGGATCCAGACCCTTCCCTGGCCGCCTCGAGGCTAAGTTCCTCAGGGCACCATCCAGCTCAGCAAGAAGAGTATGCTGCCAGCAGCACCATGGCCCTGCACAGCACTGGGTAACACAGCCATAAGCAGAGCTGGGTAGCACCACTCCTCTGCTGCCCTGGCAGATTGCACCCTGTAGTCCTCCAGACACTGCCCTGGGGTTAAACGCAGAGGTCTGTACCCAACGGCCACCTGCAGACGTACCAGTTTTATTAGTAGAGCCAAGTCTCCAGAGCTCCAGGTGCTGGGAGAACTGGAAGAGGAGTAGCCGGGCTTTCCTGGCACAGGAGACAAGGCGTCGCTGCAGGCAGAAATGGGCACATTATCATGGACCTCAGCCTGGCAGAAAGGGCCAGGCCAAAGCCACGATGGCTTGGGCTGCCAGCAAGGAACAGCTCAGGTTCTATGGGATGAGAACCAGGAGAGGAAACCACAGCAGGACCAGTAGGACAGGCTCATCAACTCAACTCTACTCTCCATCTCACTGCATTACAGGAGCCCACGGGCATGCCTGGGCCAGGAAGGGACCCTGCGAGCAAGTAGGGCCTGGCTGCTCCCACAGAGCTCACCTCATGGCCCCAGGAGCCGCCACAGGACCCTGCTTAGAGCCGCACTCACGTGGGGAAAGGTGAATTTCCGCAGCACTGCGTCGTAGCCCTTCTTCTGCACCTTCTCCATGAGCGGGCGGATCACCAGCTGGGCATCCAGGCCTGGAAACCAAGCGGAGATCATACAAGCAACTAATGGAGGGGGGGGACACCACCCATAGAGCTCCCCCACACAGCCCTCACCTCCAGAGATGAGAGCCGTTGGGGTGTGCACCACAGCTCGCACGTCGTGGGTGTGATGTTGGAATGGCTTCGTCCTCACCCAGCGCTTCTCCTGGCCACCTGCCTTCACTGGCAGCAGCTGGAACTGGTAGGTGGCCCCTGCCGAGGTGCCCACCACAATGCTGTCTTCTTCCTGGGAGAAAGAGGGCTGCTGATCACAGGGCACAGCAATGGATATCACCTGGGTGCTGGCACTGCTGTCCCAGCCCAGGGCGACCTCACCTCTGACACAGCCAGTGAGAGGACAGCTGAGGTGCTGACAGTGTGGGAGTCCTGCAGCGTCCCTCGCTCCCAGTCCCAAAACTGCACTCTCCCAAATGAGTCCGAGCTGATGACGGTGCCACTCGACAGGAAGGCGATGCTCCACACGACGCACTCGCGCTTCTTGGACTTTGGTACATGATAGTTCACCATGATCCTCTGGGCTGTTCGGCCTGAAGTAGGGAAGGGTTGTTCAAGATGGGGAGAGAGTGGGATGACCTCAGGCTCCTCACTTCGTCCTTTCCCTGTGTCCTGTGCGCTGCAGGACTCCCAGGCTGGGAGCTGTGGCAGTGCCAGGCAGACATCCTAAAGCATAGACTTGTGGCTGCTGATGGTGCCCCAGGACAGGGGACACCGCAGGCTCCCCCTGAAGGCTGCTCCAAGGAGCGATGCCCCTCTCTGGGGCAGTTCATTACCTGAGCGAACATCAAGCACACGGATGAAGTTGATGGAGCCAGCTGCCAGATGGGTCCCCGAGGGGTGCCAGGAGAGGCACAGCACACGTCCTGTAGAGATGGAAGCTCCAGGTGTGCTCCAGGGCACAGCAGCCTCTTGATGACCATAACGGCACAAAGAGTACACAAGGGGATGGCCCTGCAGAGCCCTCCACACTCACCTTTCTGCCGATCCAGGTTCTTCTCAAACTGAACACCGCCAGGAACCACCTGGAAGAGCTTCACCGAGCCGTCCTCACAGCCAATCTAGAGATTGGGGGGGGGAGTGAGTAAGGATCAGCTCCTGGGGGTGGCAGCTCCTCTGCCATTGTGAGCCCCATCCCTGCTGCTCACCGCCAGCCGTGTGCCATCGTTGTTGGCAGCCATGCTCCAGATAGGTCCCCCGAAGCCATCGACGGTGCGGGCCGGGCGCAGCCGCTCCAGGTCATACTCAGTGATGTCCCCACTCAGGCCAGCCCCGAAGAGCCGCTCCCCCGCTGCCCAGCACAGTGCTTCCACCGAGCGTGCCTGGTGCCCAGGGATGGCCTAGGGAAGCAGGCCCCATCACCACGGCTCTGTTCCACCTGTATCCCCACCGCCCCTAACCCTGTGACCCCTGCTGCTTCTCCCATCACCCCACACCCCGGTTCCTCCCAAGTTCCTGTTAACACTCCAGGCTTGCTCTTCCCGATAACACCGGGTTCCACACTGTCACATGACCAGGTTCCCCCTCCCGGTCCTCCACCATCACCCTCCCCTCCATTCACCCCTGGTTCCCCTCTATCACCCCGCCCAGTTCTCCCATTCGTTCCCCTCAGCCCCCAGCCCAGTTCTCCCCGCTCTCCCTCCGTCTCCCCTCCATCACCCAGCCCCGCTCCCCCCTCCTGCCTTCCCCCCCAGACTCCCACCACCAGCCGGCCCGGTCCTCCCCGTTCTCCCCGCATTCCCCCGCGACCACCTAAGCCCCGTCCTCCCCGTTCCCGGCCGCCGCCCACCTTTTCCATGAAGTAATTAGCGGCGAAGTTGTACACCTCGACGGCGCCGTCGGTGCGAGCGAGCGCCAGGCGACAGCCGCGGTGCTGGTAGGCCATGCAGCGCACGCCGGCGGGCACCAGCCCGAAGAACCGCACGCGGTGCACCTCAAACTCCCCCATCGCGGCTCCCGGCCCCGCTCCGCTCCGCCCCGCCGGGCCCCACGTGCGGCGCCGCGCTCCAGGAAGCGGAAGTGATCCCCAGTACCCGGAAGCGGAAGTGCGGAGCAGAACGGCGGGAGATTCGGGTGTGCTGGGCAGTGAGGAGCGGAGCCGGGGGCGCGGAGCGAGGCGGGCAGCACCCAGCCGGGACGGAACGGCGGGGCGGGCAAAGGGCTGCGCGCACGGGGGGGCACGGGAAGGTGCCGGGGGTGTGGGTGGGACACGGGGCTGCAGGAGGCACGGGGGGGGCAGTGCGATTTTGGGGTACAGGGCTCTGGGCGTAGAGGATTCGGTGGGGTGTGGGCATGGGGAGGAATTTAGAGCATGGGGAGGACATCAAGGCATAGGGAGCAGCTGGATATGATGGGAGATGTGGTGCTCGGGGCTCTGCGGATTTGGTGGGCTGTGGGCTTATGGGGGAGCTCGGGGCATGGGGGGGAAAACAAGGCACAGAAGGCAGCTGAATATAGTGGGGCTTTGAATGGAGTTGGGGGTATGGGAACGTTGGGCTTAGTAGATTCATTGGGACATAGAAAAGGATCGTGGCACAGGGGACGTGGGAGGGTCCAGGGCATGGGTTTGGGGAGATGGGGGTCCCAATGCCACGCAGCAGCCTGAGGGCTCTTCCCATCCCATCCCCTTGCAGTGACAGCAGCTCTGCAGAGCCCACGTTATGGTGCAGCTCATCATCTCCAGGTGAGTGAGGGCCTGGGCCTGCCATGCTTGGGTGCCCCGTGCCCGGTGGGTGACACCACTCCTCTCCCTGGCAGTGCTGGTGCAGGCAGCCTGGAGCGCTGGGTGCTGGTGGAGCTGCAGGGAGAGGTGGAGCCACGTGGTGGCGGTGCGTTGCCCGGGAGTCTGCTGGGAGACCTGCACTATACACGTGAGGTGAGCAGCCCTCTTTGAGCCCGGGCTGTGGGGTGGCGGTGCCCACAGGGCCGTCCTCACCCCACTGCTCCCACGCAGGGCATCCCCGTGCTCATTGTGGGCCACCACATCCTCTATGGGAAGGTGGTGCAGCTGGAGAAGCCCTTTGCTGTCCTGATGAAGCAGGCAGCCGACCCTGCGGGGACGCGCTATGCTGTTACCGCCCTCATCAAGACCAAGCTGCTCTTCAAAACACGGCCGAAGCCCATCATCACCAACGTGCCCAAGAAGGTGTGAGGACACAGATCTGCTGCCACAGGAGCAATGCTGTTCCTTTGCTGTGATGCCGCTGAGGACAGCTGAGGCATGAACTCAGCTCCCACCTTAGGCAAGGTGCATCCTGCAGGGCCAGGCTGTGCCCCTAATGGGGGCTGCATGTGACTGCCACCAGCACCGCCTCAAGCACCAGAACTCAGCCCTGCAGCCGTGCACATCGTGCTGCCAGCTCTGCCCATCCTCCTGCCTGTGCCAGGATAGCTTGGGCACGCTCTCAAGCTGGCTGCCTCCTCATGTTCCCTTCTAAAGTCACCCCTGCAGCCAGCAGAGCTGCAGATGGGGTTTACCACTTCTGTTTTAGCACCTTCCCCCCTTGAGTCTCCCCAAACCTGGGAGCACATGGAGTCGGGCAGGGGGAGCAGGGATGACACACCCATCTTTTCTCTGTGCAAGTCTTTATTGTGTCAAATCCACCAGGATATAAAAAACAGACCTCTCAAAATATGAAAAAAATAGGAGTTAAAAAATAAATAGATTTACAAACAATCAGCAATAAAGTGTAAATACGAAAAGAGCTACAAAAGTCTCCTAAAAAATCCCATCTTAAATAAAAAGCCTGACTTGTAGAAAGGTTCTAGCCCTGAAAAAAGGGCCCAGGGGAGATGGCCGTGGGTAAATACCCGGGGAACCCAGTGGGCAGGGAAAGGCTGGGAACTGGCTCTCCCCGCCCTCCTCTGCATGCCCAGGCCTAAAACCCAGCACCTCCCGGCTGTCTAGACGGATACCAGGTTCCCTCCTCGCTTCCAGAGCTAGGGGGCAGAGGAGGGGCGGTGGAGAAGGCAGCTGGCATGAAGCCGGGACGTGGTTGGCTTTATGGGGCCGTGGGCTGGCCGAACCATCAGCAACCCACGCTCCAGCTGACCCACGGCCCGGATTTTCCTGCTTCTGCCCAGGCTGCGGGCGCAAAAGCGGGGTGCCAGTGCCCCCTCCTTGCTCTTTGGCAAAGCACAACAGAGGAGCTGCCCTCCTGGAGCAGCCAGATCCCCAGCATGGAGTTGGAGGAAGCTGTGGGTACATGCCTGCACATACACAGCCATGGGGATGGGGGTGGGTGGCTTTTGGGGACATTCAGAGCTCCATGGAGACAGAGCAGGGGATGCTGAGCCCCCGTGGGTGGGCCCAGCTGTCAGCACCAGCCAGCGGTGCCTGGCATTGGCACAGCACCTGAGCGTCGTGGTGCCAATGTTGGGATGAAATCCAATTTCTGTCCCTAAATCATGGCAGGGAGGGGGCTGAGCCTGCAGCCAGCTTCTGCCCATGCAGGGGCTGCACAGGGATGGTGGGGAAAAAATCCTGGGGCGCAGCAACCCCAGCAGCATTGAGCATCACAGCTCAGCACCTGGCTGGACACATGGGGTCCATCCTCCACAGTACCACGGGGGGACATCGGGGGTCCCAGGAAAGCACCAAAGGATGGGGCCCAGCAGGGCAGGGGGAGCCCAACCAGCGGAGCTCCCGCTGTGCCCTTGCACCAAGGCAGCGAAATGCTCATCATGGCACAAGGAGGGACCCTGCAGCACCAAGGCTGTGCCAAGCACAGCTCCAGACAGCCCCGGCGCGGCCGCTAGCACCCCCGGGGCTGAGTTTTACAGAAAACAACAACAACAAAAAAAATTAAAAATAATTAAAAAGGAAAAAAAGAAAACAACCGCAATTAAAAAAAAAAAAAAAAAAAAAGCAAGACTTGATCACAAATGCTGACCTCGGGGTGCGCTCAGCGCTGCCGCATGCAGGGAGCAGCAGCCAGATGGCCACCGTTGGGTCAGCACCAACTGCAAGGGGACCCGTGGCATCCTCACACCTCAGCAAAGACCAACCCACACTGCTCCTGCCGCTTCCCGCAGCGCCGGGCCACCATGGCCAAGTAGAGCGTCAGCAGGGCCACCCAGTAGCAGGCGTAGAGGACGGCACCCGAGACGAGGAAGGCAACCTCGGTGTCGCTGAGCAGGTCCTGGCTGTAGGCTGTGTAGGCCAGGCCGCCCAGCAGCACGGCCGCCCACACCGACACCGGCAGCAGCCCCACAAAGTTGACCACGATGGTGCGGCGGCCCGACGTGCCCCAGCCCGACTTGTTGATGGTGGCGATGGCAAACATCTTGGCGGGCAGCAGGCTGGACATGTAGAGCAGGGCATAGAGGGAGACGAAGATCATCTCAGCACTGCCACGCAGGAAGCAGGCGTAGGTGGCCTTGATGATGCCCACCAGCTGCACCGTCAGCAGGAAGAGGAGGATGTTCCAGATGCGCCCGCGGTAGAAGAGCTGGATGACAGTGGCGATGAGGAAGAAGGGGAAGAAGCCGGTCACCACCGACTCGTAGGTCATCCAGAGGTGGTGCTTGTGGAACCACAGCGCGTTGTAGAGCCACTCACGGAAGTAGGACTTGCTCCAGCGGGTCTGTTGGTTGAGCCAGCGCAGGTAGCGCGTCGGCGTCTCCGTCAGGCAGCGGGAGCGTGCCGTGTACTTGGTCTGGTAGCCCAGGCTGAGCACGCGGTTGGTGAGATGCCGGTCGTCCCCAAAGCTGCACTTGGTGCCCAGGAAGGTCTGGTGGTACCAGTCCTCCAGGAACTGCTGCAGCAGCGCGTTGCGGTACATGCCCAGCGGGCCGCTGATGCACTGCACACAGCCGAAGTAGGACTGGCAGGCACGCTCCACATTGAAGGCCATCCAGTACCGCACGCTGCTCAGGAAGGAGATCCACGAGTCGTACTTGTTCAGGATCTGCAGAGGAGATGGGGTCAGTGCCACTAATGCAAGAGCGGTGCCCCGTGTGCCCCCTCCCCGCCCCACCGCTGTACCTGGACATCACCACCGACACCACCGACGCGGGGGTCGGCCTCCAGGATGCGGAGCATCTCGGCGGTGCAGGCGGGGTCCAGCACCGTGTCTGAGTCACACACCTGGGGGCAGAGGCAACGTCGAGCCCCACTCCGCCACCCACGCGCGCCCGGCAGACGGCCCAGCCCCAGCCGGGCAAGCCTGAGCCGCAGCCGGCGAGACGAGGCAGAGCCTGCAGAGCAGCGGGCGGTGAGGGGAGCGGAGCGCTCCGCAGTGCCGGACACCACTGCCCCAGGACACGCAGCTCTGGTCAATGGCATCGCGGTGGGACACCCCAGCTGACCCAGGCCCAGGCATGGGAGTCTGGGCCCTGTGCGGTGCTGCACGGTGTCCCCCGGGTGACGCCTGCATGCAGCAAGGGATGCACCAAGGAAGCGACACTGAGCTCTCCCATGCGGCGCTGCAACCCCGTGGTTCCCCAGATCACCCCGCATGTCCCCCCCCGCCCACCTGGACCCCACATCCACCTGGATGTAGTCCACGGAGTCTCCGAGCGCCCGGAAGGCCGTGTACATCACCTCGCGCTTCCCGCCCCACTTCTGCAGGATGCAGGAGTACGTGGTGCTGCGCACCAGAGCCTGCACATGGGCCAGCCCTTCCTGCAGCCCGGCCTCCGTCTCTCCTTCGCCCCGTGCGTGGAAGTTACTCCTCCAGACGTAGCTGCCCACGCGCTCAGAGCCCATCACGTCGTGGAAGATGTCCAGCATGTAGGTGTCGTCCGGGCCGTTGCCATCCACCACCATCACCACTTTGAGGTCGGGGAAGGCGATGCGCTTGACGGAGTGCAGGCACTTCTTCAGGTAATCGGGATCCTCCTGGTAGGCGGCGATGCAGAGGGCCACTGAGCGGCCCAACCGCACCGGCTGTCCCTCAGCCCTCATGCGTCGGTGCTCCAGAAAAGCAAAAAGGCTCTGAATGAAGAGGTGCAGCCCCAGGATGGCCCCGTAGAGCCCGAAGGAGAGGTAGTGCTTCTCCGTGTGGATGAACTGGTACCCGGTGACATAGGCGGCCAGGATGCCCCCCAGCACTGCCAGCGCAAAGAGGCTGGTCCCGACGACACGCAGCGCCGTGGAGAGGCTCACTGGCATCTGGGTGAGATGGGACAGTCAGGGCACGGCCACCACCCAGGGGGCAGCGCGATGCAGGCACAGTGACCGGGTGGTCTCCCAGCCCACGTGAACCTCATCCCCATGCACACATTGCTTTTGGGATTTCCCCACCCGCAGCCCTGCAGGGCTGGGCTGGAGGACAGGGAAGGGCACGGGGACAACGGGCAGCGGGCTGACTCCAGTGGGGAGGCACAGCCCCGGGACCCCCGGTCCTCGTACTGTGGGACCCGGCTCGGCCCCTCCCTGGTCCCCCACCCCAACTGCGGGACCGGGACTGCGCCGCGGGGCCGGGGGAGCCCGGGGCTGAGGGAGGGGGCGGGGGCGGGCAGCGTTTCCCGGGGGCTCCGCAGTGCCCCGCCGCTCCCGGTCCTCCCCCGCCCCTCGGCCCCCGGTGCCGCTCCGCGCCGTGGGGGGGCCGCGGGCGGTCCTGCAGAGCCGCGGGGGCGGAGGAGCCCCGGGCTGGCACCGGCGGGGCTGGGAGGGAGGGAGGAAAGAGGAGGGGAGGGACCGTACCGGGACTCACCGTGCTGCTACCGGTGCGGGTACCGGTGCCGGTGGTGCCGCTCGCCCCGGCCGCCGCCGCCGCCGCTGTGCGCCCGGCCCGGCCCGCGCGGTCGCTTTATACCGCGGCGGGGCCGGCACCGCCCGCAGCCCGCGGGGTCTCCGCCCGGCACCGGGACCGGCACCCCCGGCACCAGCACCCCCGGCGCCACCCCCGGCCCCGCCCGCAGCCCCCGGGACCCGCCCGGCACCGGCCCCGCACTGCGGGATGCACCGGGCGCCGGGTCCGTCCCCACCCGTCAGCCGGGGACAGCGCTGGGAAACCCGGGGACACCGCGCTATCAGCCCCGTGCCATCTTCCAAGACCCTCCCCACCTCCTCGCGTCCCCCTCGTAGCCATCAGCCACCCCCTCCCGGGGACACACGGGGACACCTCGTGCTGTCATTCTGTCCCTGTGCCCCCTCAAAAACGGGAGCCCTGCGCCCATCACGCGCGATGTCCCCGTGCCAGGCTGACGGCAGGGCACTGCCAGCCCCGGAATGGACCCCGCCGAGCCGCAGCCTTTCCTGTTTGGGCTCAGATCCCGCACTTTTGGGTTCCTCCCAGGCTGGGTGCAGGGCTCGGTGCCGCCCTCCAAGGGGACGCTCCCCGGGTAGACCCCGGGGGTCCCCCGCTCACGGTGGGGCAGTGACGAGCTGGGACCCCCGTACTGCTGTCGGGCTCCCACGTGGCACCAAATGGTCTCATCTGTGTCCCTGCTGCTGGGACACGGGGTGTCCCGGCACTGCAGGTGACAGGGAAGGGACGGGGACAGGAGGGTGCACACCCGCGCCCCGCTGCAGGTGCCCAGTGCTGGGGTTACCTTTCAGCCCCGTTACCTTTCAGTGTGATCGCAGCTCCCGGGTGCTCTCCCCGCACGAGTGCTTCCCAAGGTATAAATAAAATTTCCTCCTCCTCCGGCACAGAAATCTCCTTGTTCGCAGCAGCAGAATTGCAGTCAGACGCCCAGGGAACTGCATTAATACAGACTTCTCATTCAAACCCTTCCTCTGGCCGTCTGCTCCAGGCCCTGGCAAAGCACAGCCGGTATGGCAGCATCCCGGCGTGCGTCCGCAGCCCGACACCGGCACCGGCTGGCAGCGGTGACAGCGCAGAGGAGCGCCGGTCCGCCAACGAGGACAATGCGCTCCTGGCCACGCACACACCCAGCACGGCTCGGCACAGCACGGTGCCGGTGGCTTTGCTGGGGGTGGGGATGCAGCCCGGTACCCCAGCCTCGCAGGGCTGTGGTGCAGCAGCACCGTGCACCCCTGGCTGAGGATGGCTGGAACATAGGTTTGCTGCAGGGTGCCGGAGCCCCACGTACCCCGCTGTGATCCTGCAGCTCCCTGCCCTGTTCACCCATTCTGCCCAGGATGTGCAGTGATGCTGCAGGTTTGGGGTGTCCCCCTTGCTGGGATACCCCTGGGGGCTGCCCTGACAGAGGGAGAGGAATGACCTCAGTGCTGGAATGCCCCCAAACAATGGTGTACTGTGAGGGCCTGCAGCCCCCTCAGCACAGAGGAGCTCCAGTGCAGGTCCACAGTGCTGTCAAATAGCAGAAGGGCTCCAGTGCTGGTGGGTACAGGAGCTTGGCAATACCATCTCCATTTCCTTATTTTCTCCTGGGAAAATCACTCAAATATGGATAAAATCACATTTTGAATCTGATTCAGCTACTGCTTCCAGATATCTTTTTCCTTGGCCCATAAATGCCTCTTGATGCCCACAGGAACCCCAGCTGAAGAGCTGAACACCCCTGGCCAGTCCAGGGTCCTGACACCCCAAATCCCCCAGTACCGAGGGGCTCTCCATCATGGCTGAGATGGCACCAGGGCATTGTGTGGCTCCCAGAAACAGACAACACACAGCAGAGAGTTTCTCCTTTTAATCTCACCCCCCCATGCTGCCCCAGACGAGGGGCACTGGAGATGCTACGTGCCCCCAGCACCGCTGTGGTTTCACCATGGCTGACACCTGCTGAAGGCAGCCTGGGGGCACAGCAAACGTATCTCCTCCAGGGAGCACCGGAGCAGGAAAAGTGGCTTTCTGGCTCCTGGCACCTGCTATGGCAGCACCACGATTTTCTTCTCCAGCACCTGCGGAGGGAAGAGGACGCTCCTCATCGCCGTGTCCAGCTCCTCCAGTGCCAGCTGGGCATGCAGCACGGCTGCACCGTCGGGCTCAGCTGCCACCACGTGCTTCAGCAGGCGGTACAGGTCCCGCAGCACGTCCTGCAGCACCTGGGGAGAGCGGGCAGCAGTCAGAACCCGCCGGGGCCTCATCAGCACCCGGGGTGAACCCCAAACAGTGCATGGCATGCCCCGGCAGGTGCCCCATTCACCTGGCCAGCACCAGGACATGGCCCCACCACACTGCTGATTCACAGCCCTCCCCTCCCGTGACTCAGTTTCCCCACATGCAGGCAGCACTGCACGATCTCCCCAAGCCCCTAGATCCTTGCGAGGACGCAGGAGATGGGTGCAAGCTGGGCAGCCCCGGCAGCAAACCCAGTGGGCACAGTGGGTGAGGACAGCCACCAGACTGCAGCACCAAGACCTGGGAGAGAGCAGCACCCTCAGCCCCTCCATAGAATGAGGCCCTGTGAGCAGCCCCAGTGACCTGGCAGCTAAGAGGCAGCACGGGTCACAGAGTCACTGCCTGCAGAGGGGCACAGCAGGAAGCAGAGCTGCTGGAGATTCCAATTGGGAACCAGCTGCTTCCTTCCTAGGAACTGAGTTCCAACACGCTCATTGCTGGGAAGGAGGGAGGAAGGCAACGATGACCTTAGGAAACCTGGTCCTTTCCAGGTCAAAGTATCCATCACCAGGGCTCCAAGGGCAACTTCCCACAGCTTCCCAGGACCTGGCATTGTTTGTCATCATGGCCCCTCTGCCCCAGGAAGAAGGATGATGTGCTGGTTACTCTTCAGTGGTTGAGCACAAGGCACACGGACACTGGCACCAAGCAGCCACAGGCAGCACCTGGCAGAGGTTCTGGGGCAGTTGGTTTGCTGAGACAAGCAGACATGGGCTCAGGAGGAGCCACGAGTGGAAGATGTTCTGTGTGGTTTGGGGAAGATGAAGCAAATCAAGGCTGTGACGCAAAAACATCACTGTACCACAGGCTTGTGTCCTTACTGCCCCCAACTGGGGTCCTGTAATTGGAAGGGCTATTCAGAGTCCCCAGCCCACTCATGCCCCATGGTGGATGTGCTGCGTGTCTGCACTGGCAGAATAATGAACCAGGGACTGGTATGTCCCCACATGGCTGCACACTGGTCCTCCTCTGCTCGCTCCTACTACAGGGAACAGATGAAAAGGGCAGCTTTGGTACAAAGAAACAGGAGATAAAGAAACAGAAACAATTGCAATGAGGACCTAGAAGGGCTGTCACTGTGCCCAACTGGGCTCTTCCTGATACTGGATGTGCTGGTGCTGAGCGCACTGTTTACAAGAGAAAGAGTTGGTGCACCCAGCCCAGCCCTCTCTAGGCTGTTCCCACCAGGAACGTGGTACACGCTGCTGTTCACACCAGAATCAGCAATAATGCAGGCACAGAGCCTGCAGCTGCTCAGGTAATTATAGCTCAGTTAATTTTCTCCTAACTCACTGCAGCTGCTCCACACACTGCTGCCAGGAAACTGGGAGGCACTGTGGGACTGGAGGGGGCCCTCAGAGTGAACACAGCCACCACCAGCACAGGGACATGTCAAGGTGGTGCTGGATGCAACAGCCCCCAAGAGCAGGGGGGCATCCCCACTTTGAGGGGAACTGCCTGAAGGAGAAAGTTCACCCCACATGCACACCCAGCCCCATCTCTCCTGCCCTCGTCACTGCGGTGGGGGACACTCCGCATCAGGAAGGGACCCACCTCGGTTGCCTTCTTGCTGAGCCCCCGCAGCAGCAGCACCACCACATGCACAGCTGCTCTCCGCACCTCTGCCTCAGGGTCCGTCTTGGCGATGGCCGTCAAACAGGAGGACACCTGTGAGGATGGCACAGAGAGATCAGCACAAGCACACAGGGTGACCTGGTGGGGACAATGTGTGGCTCTGGTACTCGGCTTGTGGCCTGAGTCTGGTGGATGGGGATGGAAAACCCTCCCAGCACCTCCATCCTTCAGCAACACTGCTCTGCGTGCACTGCTGATCTGTCGCTGGGCAGCAGCAGCACACTAAGAATTGGGGCAGTTTGTTTGGGGCTGGGACAGGCTCTGCTTATGGTCAGTGGCTGCAGAGTAGAGCAGTGGTGAGCCACATACTCAGGATGGGATTTCATCATCAGTAATGAAGCACAGAGACTTTTCCTGAGCCAGGAAGAGGATGCAGCCCTGCGTTCTTCTCCTTCCAGCTGCAGAGCTGCAGGCAAGCCGTCTGCCTCACTGCAACAGTGCAGAGCACTGAAACAGGGGATGGACTGCTGCAGTAAAAATCAGAACTGCTGCAAGTCCTGCAGAGCATCTGGCATTATGAGTGCCAGGGTGAGCAGTCCAGCTGCTGCTGGCAGGGTGCTGGCTGTCAGCTGTTACTGTGAGCACGGCAGCAGGTGAGGGAGGCAGCGCCGGTCTCTCTGCAAAGCTCACCCACGTCAGAGGGCACCGAGCCCAGCAGGACTGCAGTGTATTCCTGGGTGACACGCAGTGTCCTTAAAAGCCTGCACGGAAACCCTGCTGCCAAGGGGCTGTGCTGCCCTCAAAGCACTGAGCCCCACTGCCCGCGGAGCACTGAGCACCTGCCTCTGCCAGGGGCTGAGTGCAGTGCGGACGTCTTTGAGAGCTTTAAGAAAAAGCGGAGTTGAAAGAACCTAATCAAACACCCAGTGACAGCAGGGAGAATTAGCAGAGTGAGTACGTTCCTGAAATAGCTGCATGTGTGGTGCATTGGCATCTCATCAGATGCTGTCATTACCCAATTGATGCGTGAGCAGCAAGAGGGAACCCAGGGAAAAAAGCCAGAGCTCAGCACCGGTGCTTTGCCTTCCCTCCAGCCCTGCGCACTGGCACTGCTGCTGAGCCTTCATGGCAGCTGCTGGGCACGGGGGCACAGCTCTCAAGATGCACAGATGCAGACTGGCTCCACTCAAGCCCTGCAGCACCCACGGCTGCAGCACCCTGCACACCTCACCCCAAGGCACCCATCTGAGCAAGGGCTGGGAGCCGCTGCCATCGTGCTCCTGTGGGCACAGAGCTCTCCCCAGCAGTAGTAAGGAGAGAAATAATGAGGCTTCATTAAAGGGGAGGAGGTGCCTCTGGCAGGTACAAAGCATGCCTTGAGGACTGTAGTGAGATGGCTATGGGAGGAGCAGAAACTGCTGTGTTTCCTTGGGGCTGTCTATCATTTCCCATCACAAGAGACATTTTAAGCTATTTATAAAGCTTTCAGTGCTAGAATTTCCCAAGCGTTTGCTTCAGAATGAATGACTTTCACACTCTAATAGCAGCAAATATCATTCACCTCCTCTCTCACAGTAAGCAGTGAACAAAACCACGCTGATGTGCCCCCAGCATTGACCCTGCCAGCAGCTGACAAACCACCCTCATTAACATCCCCCAGCAGGATCCCCCTAGGGCCAGCGGGGCTTCGGTGCTGCCCCCAGCCTCCATCCCCACTAGACCTCAGGCCCTGCACCCAACACAACCCCTGCCCAGATGGAGCATCTCTGTCCTCAGGCAGTGGGAAGAGGGAAGTGAAAGAGGCTGCTGGAGAGGGAGCTGATACCTCGTGGATGACAGAGCCCAGCTGGAAGCCGAGTCTCTGGCACAGCTCCCCCAGGTTGGAGAGGCTGCTGGCACGCAGTGTGCTGTCTGGGTTCCGCGCTCCCCGCAGGAAGGCGTGGATCAGGGGCTCCCGATGCTTGATGACCATATCCCCTGCAAGAAAGAGCAGAACAGCAGAACTGTGGGTCATGGCAACACCAGATGGTGCAGCGTTTTGACTGCAAGGAGACGCAAGAGCCCCATCCTGCACTAGAGCTCGCTCCCAGCACCACTCAGAGCAGCACCAGCCCCTCGGCTCCCAGTGCAGCAGCTCTGCATTGCACAGAATGGGTGGATGCAACACCCAGAACAATGCTTCTGCCCAGCACAGGGAACTGTGCTCAGGGCACGCTGCAGACAGACCCCTAATGGTGACCTACTATGCTACTAGGGACTCACAGATCATTGTCTGGGGCTGCTCAGGGCATCACAAACTCCCTCAGTCTGCTGTTGAGCCTTTCAAATAGGTGACATGCTACAAATAAACAAAAATGGAGTGTGAAGGCCCAAATTCTCACATCATTCAGTGCGCAAAGCCCACACCCAATTAGCACATGCAGACACAGGGAGGTGTGAGCCAGCTAATTAGGAACACAGAGCGTGCAGCCAGTGATCTGCATGCACAATTTCCCAGTGCAGAAAGATGCTTGGAACAGCAGCCCCAAATGCTCCCAAATGCAAGGGCACCTTCTTGCAAGAGCAGCTCCCACTGAGCAGGGACTGCTTTGATAAGGATTAACTTGAGGTGGTATTTGGGATAAATGAGGAAAGCAACGCTCTGCACGTGGGGATAACCTATGCTTATGGCCACGCTGCCTTGATGCCCCCCAGTCCTTGGGAGCCATCAGTGCCACGCAGGCACCACTCCAGTAGCACAGCAGACAGCAGCAGACAGGGATGGGGACAGAGGGACGTATGGTGATCCCCAGGCACAAGGCAGCAGGAAAGCTCTGAATCAATATAATGCCAGAAAGCAAAGCATTTCTGGAAACACCAGATAAATTCTCCATCTCAAACACTTGAAGCTTTGCAACAAAAACAACACGGTGCAATTTGTTCTATAAATACACAGGCATGCCAGGACACAGCACAGCCCACAGCAAAGGCGCCGCTGCAGGGAGGAGAGCCCCGCAGTGCCGCGCCGGCCGCCCGCTGCCAGTGCTTCAGGCTGTGCCACGGCCCGTGCCCATGCTCAGTCCCCAAGAGGAGCTGCTTGGGGCCATGCTGGCACTGCTGAGCCCTGGCACAAAGGGCTGGGGCTGTGTTGGGGAACGGGCAATGCAGAAGTGCTCCTGCACTGGCTGTGCCAAGGCTCAGCCTTGCCACGTGCACACCCCAAGTGCACCCCTCACCCTGCCCTCCCCTTGGGGCCTTGGCTGCAGGCAGTGCAGCCCTCTGTCCAATCCTCCTCAAATCTCCATACCCAAGATCCTGGATGAGCTCCCTGTACCTGCAAGCGTAGCTCCTGCCCTGCTGGTAGGTGAGGAGGCATCTTTAAAGGATAAAGTATCTTTGAAGGATCCAAACAAGCTATGAGTGGAATAAAACCCTGACATACTGCAGCACAATTATGTTATTATCTTAAAAGAAAGGGCCCTTTGCCAATTGCTGCTTATGCCTAGAGCCAAGAGATGGTTCCCGTAGCGAGGAGGGAGGATAGAGGAGCTGCTGGCAGCAATGAGACAGACCAGGAGCTGTGATGCTTTCTGCCCTATCAGCCCTCCCCTGCACTGGGCAGATGTACACAGATGTTCCCCCATCTGGCACAGCTGCTGGTTTAATGCACAGCTAAACTCAGTGCACCTTGAGCACAACCAAAGCCAGGAGGCATTGGGCTGGAAGTGCAGGTTGCTGCCGCTCAGAGAGCACAGCAGCACATGCCCCTATCCAGCTACACCATCACATTTCAAATCCACACCAGCTCAGCACATGGCAGCAGTTCCGCACACGGGAGGATTTGTCTTCCTTTTTTATTGCAGCAGGACTCCGGGGCATACAGTCACTGTTCTGCCTGAACAAGCCACTGCTGTCCCGTGCAGCTATGCTGGGCAAGGCAGCGTGCACCACGTTGTGTGCTTTGAGAATGGAAGTCAGTAGAGGATACCTGAGGTGGGGGAGCAGAGCAGAGAGGGCTTGGGGCACAGCACAGAGATTTGTTGTGGTCTCAGAGTTGTGGAAAGGAGTATTTCCTTACAGTGTAACCATTATGGATAACAATAGATTGGACTGATCCCCACGGAGGCTGGGCAGGTTGTGCCTTGCCCCTAGGTTCCCAGGAAGAAGGGTGGCACAGAGCTGCCACCGTGCTGGCAGACACCAGTGGGAATGGTGTGAGGGCTGTCTGCCAAGCTGAGAGCTGGCTATGGCCCCAGTGCTGGCTACACTCCTCTCCAGCATGAGCAGGATCAGACCATGACAGGAAGACATGTGGGGCTAGGAGAGCCCAACTCATTCCCTATGGGACAGGGCTGCCAGCACCCCACAGCAGCAGGGACAGCAGCTTCCTCCTTCCCTTCATACCCTGGGAACACCAACAGCCTGATCTCATCAGCCTTGTCTCCACCAGAGAAGCACAAGGCGTTTTAGGACATGTCCCAACAACAGCTGCCAGGAAGGCCTCATCCAGCTTTCATCCTTCAGCCCTACATGTCCAGGCGCTTCCCAGCGTCCTCCGATCCCAACGTTGGCTGCTAAGGGTGAGGGGGAATGGCTGTGGGATCTGCACCCCCGCTCCTGCCCTTGGGGTTCAGCTGGGAAGCTCCCAGTGCTGGGGCAGGATCCCAGCTCCTGTCAGGCCATGTCCCCCAGGCAGGGCGAAGCCTGGGAGGCCCCAGGGACTGACTCCATCTGCCCCATACGCGGGCGGATGGGGTTTTCCAAAGAATTCCAGGCCTTTGTGCAACACACCAAAGCCTTGGGCTTATTTTCCTAGTGGTGCTTCCCAGATTGCCCCTCTGCCCCTGGGACTGCATGGGTCCCTCCAGCCTCACCATGCCCACAGTGGGTTCAGCCTCATTTGCTAAAACTCTCCATGGTCCTGAGTGATATCACACACAGCAAGAACCCACAGTCTGACACAGCCTGGGCTTTATCTCGCCTTTATCTTCAAAATGCCCAAGTCCAACCCTGCACCCACTTCTAGACAACAAAAAGCTCCATGTGCTTTAGGTGGGGAAAGCACAGGAGAGCAGCATCCCACAGCACCTGCAAGGGCTTTGCAATGGCCCAGTGTGAGAAGAAAGCAGCCGAGGACTCACCCAGTGCCCGAGTGACACGCATCAGCACCTCGCCCAGCTTCATCCTGGTCACAGCAGCTGTGCTGTCCTCTGTGTCCTGGACAGGACGCCCATAGTGGGCCAGCAGGATGGGCAGGATCTGCTCTGGGTACTCACTGGACAGCAAGGCAGCACCTGGAAGCCAAAGGGATTGGGAAAGATGGTCCAGGGTCGAGCAGGAAGATGGCACGCATACGGGTGGCACTCTGCATGTGTGGCCAGGTACCTACGACGTGTGCTGGTCTCCTGCCTCCACTGCAACAGGAACGGCCAGTGCACACTGGTGGCCACAGCTGACCAAGCAGCACCCAGGCAGCAGTACCCATTGTGGCTGTGCATAACAGTGAGCCCCAGCCCAGGCTGCCATCAGGCCCAGCCCCATGGCCAGGCCAGTGCCAGAGCTCCTCAGCAGGCAGGAAGGAGGAAAAACCCCAGGATTTCACTCTCAAAAAGGCACAGACCCAAAATCCAATATAGGTGAGACACTGATGGCCAGGGAAGGGGTGAAGTGTTCCAGCAAAAGGCAGGAAGCCAAGCAGTGCCTGTGTGCTGTGCAAGCCTAGGTGACAGCCTGCTCCTCAGTGACACCACTCCTGGCCAGGCAGGCAGCAGCTGCACTAGGGCTGCACAATGCTCCAGATGACAAAACCGAACTGATGGGGCCATGTTGGAGGGAACCAGTGTGGGATAGGCCCTACTGCCTCTCTACCTCCCAAAATGTGCTTTGGGAGATGCCTAGGACACCATAGCACATCTCAAGCTCCTTGTAGGAATCCCTCCTGCATAACTGGGGAAAAGACCCCCAGGTCTCTCATTGCTTGCTCAGCATTGCTGGATTTTGGCTGCAGGTATGCCCAGGCTGAACATGAATTCTGCAAAAACGAGTACATTGTAACCTGCCTGCTCAGCAAAACATATCACGTAGCCCCCTCTGCACAAAGCCAAACCACCAAGAGCCCAGCATGGAATGAGCTGGATGCCAAACTGAAAGATAAATAACAGTTGGCAGCAGGTGTCCACTAATTACTGCTGGTTAATATTCATTGACCCAGTGTCTACATAACAAGCCAGACATCACTCGCTGCAAGACACTGCCACAGCAAGCACCGGGCTGGGCATGCTTCTGGGTGTGACTCCTGGAGCCCAGTCTGGCCTCTGCCCTCTCCTCCTGTGCAGCCCAGAGGCTGGCTTTGTGCAGAGCTCCTCCAGCACTGAGGCTCCTGCATGCAGGCATTTTTATGGCCATGGCAATGGGATAGGGAAAGGCAGTTGCTCTCCAGGGAAACACAAATGGCAGAATTTGACTGTGCCAAAAACTGAGTCAGAGTGAAGGCTGAGAGCGAGCCCAGATCCAGCTCTCCTGCCCTCCAGGAACCTTCACCTCCAACCCAGTTCCCCAGTTATCACAAGGCACTCAACACGAGTTACCAACCACAAGCCCAGGCACATCCAGAGGGGCAACGACCTCTCCTCCAGCATCAACCATGTGTGCACCCAGTGCCATGGTTCCCATATGTGCCGCTGCAGCAGCCAGCTCCCAGCAGCAGCACTGTGCCCAGAGCTGAGCCCTGCAAGCACAGCGGGAGCCCTGAGGAGCACTGGTGCCTCTCCTGCTGCCCTCTGGCCCTATGTGTGGCACAGCAGAGCACAGCACAGTACAGTACGGTGCAGGTGCCAGCACAGCACACTGGTGTGAGTCACCACCACAGGGAACTGCGTCAGGGTTAATCACAGCCATCGCCAGGCTGTGAAACACAGGGGCAGCTGCACACCATATATTAATCACTTAGGGAATATTTCAGCCTTCATTTCTATTTCACCTGCAGGGCAAGGACAAACCCATCCCACTCAAGACCATACAGGCATGGAGAGGGAAGCATATCGATAAGATCGCTTTCCAACTAGGTTTGAAGGTTACCTACAAGCGCAGCGGAGGTGCAGGGGCAGTACACCTTCTTCCTGTCTCCAGCTCACCTAGCCTCAGTGAGCTGCCTGCCCATCAGCTCTGTCTGCCTCCAGGGGATCCCCAGCCCTGCAGACAGTTTCCTCTCCCATTTCAGCCATGCCAAGCTTGTAGTTTGCTTCACAGGGGTCTCCCAAGAGCTCTGGCTTATGTACACAGAACAACTTCCTTTCAAATTACCTCTGCTACTTCACATACACTCAAGAGACAGCAATCTGAAACGGCAGCCCGTTGTACAGACACCCAAACCACGTCTGGGTTTGGAAGCTCCTGCATGCAAATCACTGCAGTCAGCCTGGTGCCACTGCATCAGAACAGCAGGACAGGGAATAGCTGAATGATGAGCAGGCCAAGTCCCAAGGGTCTGCAGGGAAAGCAGCAGGGCTGGGGGCCCAGCAGAAGGGGAGCCCCAGGCATGCAGAGCTGGGCTGTGTCCTTCCAGTTTCCTTCTCCAAGCCTCTGCTACCATGCAGCTTGGGCTCTAAAGGAGCTGCAGTGCAATGCCAGCCCCAAGTATTCCCAGCCCCAGTTCCTGCCTGCATAGATTTGGTGTCAGAAGCATGGACCCAGCACAGGGACAGTGCTCAGCTCCTGCTTGTCCTCAGCTGGAGGACACCCCAAGCAGTAAAACTGTGCAGGGCACCCTCACCTCTGCACTTACAGCTCCACTGAGGATGCACACTTGTGGTCTGTGCACATTAGCAGTTAAATCAGGCAGTAAATTAACTAATTACCCATTGACTAAGCACAAGGAGAGCTCAACTAGACGAGGCCCAGGAGACGGCACTCACCAGCTTCAGGAAGTAGGAGCAGAGCCCAAGCTCCAGCTGTCCCACTCCTAGTGACACTGCAGGTCCCTGGGAACATGTGGCACAAGGGGCACTGCTCCCTAAGCTCCCAGCCCAGCCATGCAGCACTGCCATACAGACCACGGCCGTTGCAGCAGGTCAGCTAAACATGCAGGAGCATCACTGCTGCCTGCTCAGGGCACGACACTTAGAGGGGATAGCAGCACCACTTGCTACTGGTCTTGAGGCTGCAGGCATGAAAAGAGGTGGCTGTGTCTCCTGGCACCATGCCCTTTGCAGGGAAACAGGAGGGAGGAAGCAGGGGCTGGCACAGACAGGTTGGCGTTTGCTTTCCCCACATCCGTTCAACCTTTTCTACAACCAGGTGTCTTCCAGGGAACGGCTCCCAAAAGGATTAGAAATCTCAGGAGTGGTTACTTAAGTCTTTGTCACTGCTCTCCCCGGCAGGTCTATTTCCACAGCACCAAGATAGAGGAGGTCTATGGCTGGAGCACCAGAGCTCACTCACTGCTTCCCTGCCCCTTCACAATGGGAAGCTTCAACCTTCTGCTTTGGGAAGAGCTCAGCCACACGTGGTGTGAGACTGAAGCCCCAGCACCACCAAAGGCCATATTTCCCCCACTCCAAAAACTCATCTGTTGGTGATGTTGGTGACACTCCCACCAACAAGACAACCCAGCCCAGAAAAGCCATGGCAAGAGGCTGCAGTGGGCTCAAAGCCCTGAGTGCAGCGCAGTGCTGCTGCTTGGCTTGGCTCCTATGCAGCCCCAAGACCCTCAGTGGGCTCTTCTCCAGGCTGTGCCTTTGTGACAGTGCCCAGGGACCCTGCACAGCCCAACCACTCTACCATATACAGCACAGTACCACGTGCAGATGTGGTGCTGCCACTTGCACACAGTACTGTCACTCCCCAGTGCTACACAGCTGCCCTCCCCCAGGTCATGAGTTGTTCACCTTGAATGGCAGAAAGGTACACAAAGGAGTCCTCGTGCTGTATGTTTTCTAGGAAAACCTGTAAAGATCAAGGAACAGATTTGTTACCAGCAGCCTGGAACCCTGAGGCAGCCTGGCACTGACATGAGGTTGGCACTGCCAGCTGTTCTGCCCCACAAGCTTCACCACCCACCCCATGATTTTGTCACAGGGGATGGTGATGGTGTGGAGATCCTGTACCTGGAGGATTTTCTCTTGAATCTGAAGTGCCTCTGGGTCCCGCTGCGTTATCAGGCTGGAAAGACTGCGCAGGGCAGCTGCCCGGACAGGAACTTGGGGGTCGTAGGCTGATAGAAGCAGCTCATGGAGCTGAGCTGGGGCTGAGCTCTCAGCACTTGGAGCTGCAGCAGGACCCATAGCAGAAGGCTCCCCATGCACAGTCTGCTCTTCGCTCTCCCTAGGAGCCGAGGGGTGGCTGCAGCCACGGCCATGCTGCGGCAGTGCCCCACCAGCCTCCGGGCTTTGGCAGGGGGCTGTGCAGGCTTCCGTCCTGCCTGGCCCCAGCTTTTTCCCCAGCACAGTCTCAGCTGCAGTGTTGACTGTCTCAGTGGAGAAGGCACCATGAGTGCAGATGGTGATGCGTAGGTCTGCAGCCAGCTCCTGGATGACGGGGTCAGGATGGGTGCAGGACACCTCTTCCAGCAAGGGCAGCAGCCGCTTCAGGACAGCAAAGTCACTCGATTTCAGCTGCAAGGAAGGGAAAAGCAGCATTGGTACCATTGCAACAAGGGGCTTATGCTGGCACGGGGCTGCTCCCTTGTGACGCTAGTGAGGGGTGAGCTGGGGGCAGATGTGCTCTGGGGTTAAACCTGTTGTGAGACTTTGGAAGGGGGAACTGTACAGTGCTGATGGCTTCTTGGCAGCTCTGCAGAAGAGTGGAGCTGCTGAACATTGAGGGCTGCTCCATTCTAAGATCTGGTCACTGAAGCATCACATCTCAGGACGCACAGCAGGGAATGGCTGGATCTGTTGCACTGCCCTAGCTAGATGAGCTTGCAAAGTGAAATCCCAGGTTAGCAGCAAACGTATCGATTGCAGCACCCTCCCTCTCTGATACCACCTCAATAGGCTCATTGTACAGAGCTCCAACAATGCAGACTTTGCTGTTGGGAAATAAAACACTTTGTGCACTACAAAGTAACATGGTAGCTTTCTGGGTTGGGAATGAATAGTATGTCAGGGGAGAAGGTGAGAAAGCAGCAGGCAGGGCAGGCATTGCAGGAGCTCCCAAGGACACCTCCTTGTCCCTGCAGCAAGCAGCACCCCAAACGCTGGGAGCCACAAGCACTCCGCAAAGATAGATGCTTGGCCCTGATGCTAAGCCCAGGGCTGGCACAGCATCAGATCCAGGCACTGATCACTCTGCTCATCCCACAGCACTCTTAGTGCCCTGCCAAGGCTGTGATCCCCTGGAGGAAGCAGCACGCAGGTGGTTGCAATGTGCCAGGCAGCCCGGTGGGGTTTGCTGGCACAGCATGCAGCCCTGGGGGCTGGGGAGAAGTTCCTGCCCTAACCTGGATTTAGGATTTAATTGCTAGATCCCAGGAGGAAAAGCTGGGCTGCTAAGGCCTGAAAAGCAAAGCTTTACCGGAGGTTTCAGGGGAGCATTTGGATGATTATGTAAAGACAAAAAAAAAAAAAAAGCAACAAAAAAAACCACTTGGCTATTCAAAAACAAACAGCTTTGCAGTCACTCCTGCTGCTTCCAGCACCAGCTGCACTGGGAAACCTTTTTCATTCAATTTGCTGGCCAAGTTAAGTTGCTTCCATTAAGAAGAGAGAGCAGGGCATGGCCTGGAAGGGGGCCTATTAAGGCTGCTCCGGGACCACCAGCGAGGTGGGGGCTGCCTGGACCAGGACCAGCCCCAGGCTTTGCATTTCTGCAGCCAGGCCAATGGAGCAAGGAGGTGCTACAGGGGCCCCTCCTCAAAAGCCTCAGGCAAACCTTCCAGCCCCACGCTGAGCACCCAATTTAGCCCCAGGGCTGCACATGAAAATGCAACGCTAGGGGCCAGGCAAAGGCAAGGCCCCAGGCCAGCACCCGATGGGTGGCTTTGCACCTCCTCTTCCTGCACATCAATTGCCACAATATGCTTATTAATTACATGAGAACTGCCATTTGCTCTTGCTCTAATTGAAGGACACTGCTTGTTCTTCCCTTGTTTGTGAACATGCTATCCTTTTAATTAAATGTCCCTTTGCCCAATTCTAGGAATGTTGCTAATAAGATAATAAATCATCTTCTTCCATTAATGTCTGAATTTTCCTTTGGGCAAGCCCAAGGATAAAGCAGCTGACTGTTCAGTGAAATAAACATGATGACTTCGCACTGCTAATGAACATTACCACTCTCCAGTGCTGTTTGACTGACACTGTGAAACTCACAGCTTTTACAGAGGATTTTCCAGAATGGTGCAGCCTACATGGAGAAGTTCATCAGAGCACACAGATGTGTAGGGATGCAGAAGATGATAACATAAGGAAACTGTGATGGCAGTGCTCTATCAGAACATTCTAGGAAGCAGAATTTAACCAGCACTTTGTGACCAATGGGCATAGCTCTGCAGAGCTTTTCTGTGCCTCTTTTTACACTGAAACAGCTGTATGTCCAGGACCCTTCAGCCAGTGGCACACGAAGATGATGGGAAGGCATCCATCCTCCGAGCACATGGAGCCTGCAGGCACACCCGCAGGGCTCCCAAGGTTCCACCCCCCAGCCTTGCTAGAAGCACACAACCTTTTGTTTGGCTGCTTTCTCATTAGGAACACATGGCATTGTAAAGAGAGCTTGGTTAAATGAACAAAGCAAATAGTAGGAAGTGGTTCGTGAATGCCAGCAGGACCCAAAGCAGCACACATGTGTGGGCAGGCCAGTGCTTCCGAAAGAGATAACAAGGACCATAAAGAGTGTGACAAGGATCCAGGGCTCATGCCAGCTGAGCTCTAAGTGACCTGCTGGGAAGGGACTCTTGGCTGTGCTCCTAAAAAACACACAGTGTGTGTACATGAACACACCAGTATTCAGAAAACCCAAACCTAACCCAGTCTGTGTCACCTCCATCAGCCCAGAACCAAATTGTGCCTGGACCCAGGGCTCGCCCCACATCTGCTCACCTGCATGGCTCCGCTGAGCATGGCAGCCACCAGCCCCATGGCCATGCTCAGGGTCTGTGCCTCCACTGCTGTGCCGTGGCCCCGGCTCAGGCTGATGCACGCCCGCTGAAGCGTGACAGCCACGAACTCCTCCACCTGCCAATGGATGGAAGAATGGTTAGAAAGGAAGGAGGTGACCCCAGCAGTCCCACTGCTGCTTCCTCAGCCCCAGCAAGGAGCTGCTGTAATGCCAGCCCCACCAGGGAGCCCTGTAGAGCTGGGGGACAGCCAGGATCTGGGTGAAGCCTATCTGCACCAGGAATGTAGCATACTGGGGCTCTGCTGGTGGATGCGTTTGAGTTCCCAAACCACTGCCATTCCCCAGACCCAGACACCAGCACAGCCCTGCATCCCACCCTCTAAACCAGCAGATGAAATTCACAGGGAGCAGCACCACATGGGGAGCAGCAGCCAGGCTGGGAGCTCCTCTCCTCTCCCCACACAGCCCTCCCTTGGAGGGAGGAAACCAGTATTTGTGAAACATGAGACCTAAAATCCGATGCTAGCATCCATTTCCTGAGCCACAGCAAACAAAGCTGAAGCAGAAAGGTGCTGACAGCCTGGCCCATTAACAGTCACAGCAGACTGGCTGCCACAGGGCTGGATGCCTCTGTCCAAGCTGGGAAAACAAGGCTGTGGCACGGGAAGATGCTGGGGAGCAAAATGGGGCTAAAAGGGAGCAAAGGGGATAGAGACAAGTAGGGGGAAAATATGAGAGGTCCCTATGAGATTGTGCTAGAGAAAAGTTTGAGTTCTGCAGACTGCACACAGCAACCCAAATTTGTTGGCTTAAAGGGGTGGTGGTGCAGGGGGGTGGGGGTTGTGTCACACTTGGTGATTTTCTCACAGTATTTTCTCTCCAAGCCAGTGATGATCTTGCTTGGCTGACTCTGGCCTTCTCAGCACTTGGCACTGAGATCTTTGATCCCACAGGCTTCCTGTATTTCTAATGGAGCCTGAAATTAATACATCTTTTCCTTTGTCTGCTCTGGGTGAACTTGTTGACTGCAATGGGAGCTGGCTGCTCATTCATGGTGGGAAAAGCATGATTAGTGGTCGCTACTGCTTAACACACTTGTTGCAAAACAAGAGGAACCCTTTGGAGTAGCTCCTCCTTTGGAAACAAAGCAAGAGAGCAACAAGGCACTACTACAGCAGCTCCCCATGTTACCAGCCTCCTGCCAGCACAGCAGACACTGTGGGTAAAACACATTCCTCACTGGCAAGGCTCAAAGAGCTGACCAATGCCATCTTCATTACATGTCCCCTATTGCAGCAGAGAGTAGGAGGTTGGCTCTGAGGGTCTACAGGTAAGGCACAGGTATGTCCTGGACTAAGAGGACCAAGAAATGTGCTGTTAAACAGCAAGAATGCAGAGCAAAAACGCATTAGCAACTGCTCTCATAAAATAGTAACACACAAACTGAACGAATTGAAACTACACTCAATTGCAAAGAGAGCAATGTCACATACAAGTAATCTACCAGCAGTGATCTACACCAATAATTAAAGAAAGACTACTATCTAGAAAGAAAAAATAAAAGTTTGGAAGATGAAACACTGGGTGACATTTCTGTCTCGTGCAGGAGAGCATGCTGCATCACCAGCGGCATACCAAGGAAATAAAATCAAATCAACCTCAAACTCAACTGTGAGGAGGAAAATGTAGAATAAATGTGCAGCTGAGGAGGTCCACAGCTGCCTCCAATCTCCATCCCTGGGCTCAGGCCTCACACGGAGAGATCCTACTTGCTCCCACTCTGTTCTACACAAACACATACTGCAAAGCAGCTGCAGCAAGAACAAAACCCCCTAAGGAACCATGTACTGCAGAAAATGCTTAAGAACGCAGCTATGCAGCTGCCTGTTTGAACCTGAGGGACTGGTCCTTGAAATATGACCCCTGGTGTTTACTTGTAGGTTGAAGTATAATGGCTTTTTTGGCTGCACTTTTTTTTTTTGGTTGTTTCTTTTTACACCAGACATGCTGGACCCAGAAACTCAGCAAAACCCTCTCCCATTTCCCACTCCCAAGTTTTGACTTGGACAGGAGAGCTGGATGTGCTTAGGTCTGCAGGTTAAGGAGGGTGCAGGCACACTGCTGGTGCCCAGCTGAGCTGGGGGCTGCAGCGACCACCACTGTCACTGCTCTGCCACTGCAGGGCACAGCATGAGAAATGCCATTGTTCCAAAAAGAAAACTGAGGAAAAACTGTGCAAGAAGTGACCTGCTCTGCTTCAGGAAGTCATAGGTAACCAGTGCAATCAGATCATTGAGTTTAAAAAGAACTGGATGAGGAAGTTAAACATGCAAAGCAGTTGGTTAAGCATTGCCTTGGTGCACAACAAAGCTCTGCCAGCCAGGTGCAGGACAAGAATCTCCTTCAGTGCCACTGCAGTGTGGGCTCAGGGGGTGACAAAACACCATGTTTTAACAATCCTTTGAACTTACAGTAATTAACACACTTTGCAGCCACTTGTTCAGGAAGACATCCACAAGAGCATGACCATGGTTATGCCAGCCTCGACAATAGGGCTCCCCACTCAGTACAGGTGCAGAAACCAGAGCAATGCCATGAGCAGCCTACATGCTAACAACGGAGAGGGGACATGATATGATGGTTGTACCATGCTGCACACCCAGAGCTTCAGTGCTCTTGCCAGGTTGGGGCACAGCTGCAGCAACAGCTAAAGGTTGTTGTAGAGATGTGCCAAAAGAACCGGCACCACTGCATGGATGCAGAGCAAGCACTTGCTGGAAAAGTCTGCCCAGTGCAGATGTCTTCAAGCTTTGCTAAATTTTGGGAAGTTAATTTTGCTCAAAAAAATATGAAAAATTGGTGTTTTGATGACCTATTCTCTTGGTTTTCAATACACAGCCATGAAAACATCTGCTGGCTGCTTCCTCCTACATCTGCAGCTCACTCTCCTCCCTGTTGATACAGGGCAGGATAGCGTCTTGTTCAGACACTCACAACCGACTCAGTAAACTGCTTTGGGGACATCCTAGTTTTCTCCTGCTGTTTCTTAGCAATTATGTACCTAGAACCCAGGGCACAGACTGCAGTGCTATGCTCCCCCAGGGCTTTACCATCACCCACCTGAGCAATGTTGGTGAACACAGTGTCCGAGACGCTCTCGCACAGCGCGGCCACGAGCTGGAGGACCAGCAGCTTCCTCCTCTGCTCAGCACTGTGCTGCTCCAGCTCCAGGAGGCTACATCCAGCCATGGCATCACAGCTTGCCACTGCTTCGTCCTCTGCAGCCACATTCGTCAGCGCCTGATGGGAAGAAGCAAAGGAAGGTTGGACACTGCAAACCACCTCCAGGTGCATCACAGCCTCTTTTCTACCTGTTCCAGGGAAACCACCCCCAGGGATGCTCCCCCAGCAAAGCTCTCACCTTCAGGCAGAGGATGAAGAAGTCTCCAGCCAGGCCGCTCTGCTGACAGTGAGACAGCAGCTCCACTAAACTCTCCACATGGCACTGCTCCAAGGAAACCTTCTGGTAAAGGGCCTCATCTTCATCACTGAAATAGATTTCTATTCTTGTGAAAGCCAGTAGCAGCACAAGCTGAGTTTGTTGTGTCCCCAGTCACAGGAGGCAGAGAGAAAAAGTCCCACAGACACCACCCAAGGGGCACCCTGTAAGCCCCATCACTCTCAGCACCTTTCCATGGACAGCCCCTGGGTTTTGGGGCACAACCAGAAAGCGCATGCCTGGAAGCAGCAAACCCAACTGCTGCTGAGTTCATTTGGTCTACGTGATCAAGCACTCAGCTTATTAACTAACCTACATTCATTAAAAGAATAATATTAAGAGAAACCATCCTACCCTAGTGCTAGTTAATTCATGCAGCAGTCATAGCAGTCACATAGCAGTCAGGACAGACAGAGGCACAGTCATTAAGAAATAATTTTAAATTATATTCCGTTTAAACAGCTTAAATCCCAAGGCAGACCTTCTACTAATTTAGGTCAGGAAAAGATTGAAATGAAACCAGAATGAGCACATTTCTATAGGGTTTTGTTACACTCATAGTGAAATGGGTGCCTGCAGCTGCTGACACACCCGTGCAGCAGGCAGTGCTGGCAGGAGCTGTGTGCTCTGTGTGTACTGCTACTGTGTGCTCACATGTGCCACATGACATTGCTGCCTCTCTTTGAAGTGAACATCATGTTGCTCAGCAGCCCTCAGTTGCATAGCTGGAGTCTAATGGTTGTCATTTATTCACCACATGGCCACGCTCTGACTCCACATGCAGAGGCCATCTGCAAGAGCAGGAGGGAGTTTGGTTCCTGGCTCAGGTACTCTGGCATCACTGAGTCCTTGCTGTGACAGTGCCACCTGTGCCTGAGGAATTCCACCAGTTCCATGCAGACATGGTTGGCCACAAGCAGACCCTGGCTGGAAGTGGAATGGGCATCTGTAGAGTGCTGGGACTGATGCTGCATGTCCTCTACCCAGACACCCAACAGCCCAGTCCTGGGACTTGGAAAGGCACACAGTGAGCGTGTGCCAATGCTCAGATTGTGCTGGCAGACAGGGCTCTGCACCGTGGAACCACTGAGCTAATGCACACACCCTGCCCACCTGCCTGGGGAACGAGACCAGCGAGGACAGCATTGTCAGCCTCACATCCCCACAAAAGGCCCCAGTGCTGGGTGATGCAGGGCACTGACCCCTGCACTCCCGTGCCCCAGCAGCCCCTCACCTTTCGGGCTCCTCCACTGTGACGGCCGCACCGCCCTCGCTGCCCACGCGGAAGCAGCACTGCGGGTGGAGGCGGTGCACACTGCTGGCCAACCCCACGCAGCCCTCCAGCACACACAGTGAAGTCTCCCTCTCCGACTTCTCCAGGAACCACAGCAGCACCTCCTGGCATGGGGAGCTGCAGGGATAGACACAGAGCAAAGGTGACCTTCTGCTGCCCGTTGCAGCCCTCCCCGCAGCGCGCAACAGCACTGCAATGTGACAGTGTGTCTGAGGACAAAGAAAAGCATGAATGCTCTGCAGTGAGCACAGACCCTCCTTGGGATGCTCTGGGAGGAGAGTTCTGCCTAGCTGAAAGCATTTGCGTCCATTTAGAAGGAGCTCGGCAGTACATTCTGTCATTCTAGTATTCACAGATGGAAGAATGTAGGCCCTCCAAGATTTCAGCCCAGCCAAGCAGAGAGCACTCTGTCTGAACAGTGTGTTTGTACAAGGACAGCCACTCACACGCAGCCTCAGCATGCTGCGCGCAATGCTTCGTGCCAATCTGACAAAGCACAGAGCTGTCAGCCATGCCAAGAAAGAGGAAGGAGACGGGGAGCACGGTAAGGTGGCACGGAAACCCCTGCCAAGTGAAGATGCAGGTTAATGAGATTGAGTAGCAGTGCTGTGCCAGGGGTCTGGAAACTTGAACGCTTCCAGGCAGCTGTGGTTTTCATCACCCCTGCCAAATTCCTGTGTAAAGAGAGAAGCTAACAGTGACTGTGCTCACCCAGCAGCAGCATTCACTTGGCTTGTTCTGAGAACTTGCCACAGCACTCACTACTCTTTGAAGTGATTAATGAAGTCTTTAATAATAGCACAGACCTTATAGGGGAAACCTCCAGTACCCACGTGCCAGTACCACCAAGGCATCAATGTAAACCCACCAGGAGCACAAGTACTAAAATGGCCCAAAGTCAGAGCAGCCCAGGAAAAGCCTGGGAGAACAGGGAGAGGACAGCCAGCACCTGGTGACCACTATCATTGCCACCACAACTGACATATGTAATGTTCATCATCATACATCAGTCATGGGGGAGCTGGGCACAGTGTGAGACAGCTGCCAAGAGGCAGATCCCACATGCACTGGAAAAAATGATCCCATCTAGTAAAAAGATGATCTTTTACTTTCTAATCCACCCCCACAGATCCCTCCAACACCCAGCCTAGTCCTGGCATTACCAGCCCTGGCCTGGGGTTGGGCTGCCCTTGCTGCACACTGCAGTGAGGTGAGCAGGGCTCCCGCAGGGCACGCCTGCCCAAACACCTGGGCTTCGGGGAAGACAAAAGTGAAGAACTGACTCCCTGGGCACAGTAAGGTCATGCACCATGCCTAGGCCTGTGGTTACTGCCTGCTTTTAATAAGTTTTTCAGGGTAAGAAAATTAGTCTCCACTTCTATATGTGTCCATATAGAGCGTGTACTCTAGAGCCAGGCGGTAAAGAGAAACAAAATCCCAGAAGAAGCTGTGCACAACCCTCCCTTACCGTAAGTATGACACATTCTGCTTGGCAAAGGAATAGAGGGAGAAAACCACTCCCAGGACTGACTGCAAGGATCTCAGAAGCAGGCTGGAGCTGTCATTCCCAACCACGTATACCTACAGAGAGAAGGGCACACAGAGTGTCAAACTCTTGAGTGGAACAGAGGGGTGCCAAGGGAGGACAGAAGGTACATCTGACACCAGAGAGCATGGCACAGTGTTTACAGCCTCCACTCCTTTCATCCCATTCTTCCCAATTATGTATATCCTGCATTAAAAGCAGCCTTCTGCACTATCTTTCTCCCAGCATTTGCTTAAACACAGCAGGGCTCCAAGCTGCAGGAACACTGCAGCAAACTCAGGAAAACTGCTGCTTAGAGGTCAGGTCATAAGCTATAGAGAGATGCAATAGACACCTTTGAGTCAGCAAATCTTAAGGAAATTGCACTCAGAACCAAATCCCAAACACAAAAATCAGTCTCTAGTGGGAGCTGAGGTGTGCTGAACTGATCAGGCTTGGTGGAGGCAGTAGGACCACATTCCTGCCCTCTGCCTCAAGCAGTACCTTCCTGAACTACTGGAATCACCCTCAGCCCACTGTTACCAGGGCACTGCACACAAGTCCTGCTGCTGCCCATAGAGCAGTAAAAAACAGCTTCTCATTCTCCATATGATGTCCAGCTCAGAAGATGCTGTCCCTTTAACAGAGCAATCCCCACACCTCCCATCAGCTGGGACACAGCAATAGGGCTCTGGCCCACCAGAGGCACTGTGACAGCCCAGGTGCAGAACTAGGAAGGACATTGTCTTGATAATTCTTGGCCTGCTGCACTGATGCAAACCAATGTTTTGCCTTCTCTAATCCCCATGGAGCCACTCCTCCTAACCAGAACCTTTTGTACACAAAGCCTCCCTGATGAAGCCTAAAGAATGGTTTCCCACTCTGCATCAAATGACATTTCCCAGGGAAGAAACCCCCACAAATGGCAGGCTGGAGCTTCCATCACTAATCTCACTGCTGTCAGGCCTAAAGCACCATGCCATTAAGCAGGGATCCGCCCCAAACTCCAAAAGCATTCTCATTGTGAGCAGCAGCCACAGAGCAGCCCTCCAGACTGGTCTCTGCCTGCCAGCTAGTTGCAACAGATCATTAGTACACAAAATACTATAACAATCACAGCATTTAAGAGCTTAGGCTGCCTAGGGGCATGCCAGTAAGCCAGTCACCCACTTCTTGAATTCCCGGGCTTGAGATGTCCTTCTCTGCTGGAAAGTGTTCAGCTGCTGCCAGGCAGCACAGCACTGGTGACACTGGTGGGAGAAGGAGGCACGAGTAGAGGTTTTTAGAAGAGGTCCTCATCAAACAGTCCTGGTCTTTCATGGGACCCCACCTCTCCCTCCAACACCACAAGAGGATCTGTGCTGCTGAGCATAGCGCTGCAAGGGACCCCTTCTACGTGGACAGAAGTATTTTCCAGTGGGGAACAGGTCAGTTCCACAGAGGTGGAGACGCTCCCTACCAAAATCATCAAGGGAAATAATCCTAATAATCCTTGCTGGAAGGAGCTACAGATGCTACACATACACTGCCCGGCCCATAAGACACCTCCCCTAACATGGAAATTGTTCTGTTACTGATGAAATCAGACTGCAACTAGCCTTTCAACAACAAGGCCCATGTTTCTGTCAATTTTGTTGAGCCCTCCCCATACCCCAGAACCTGGTTAGAGCCCAAGCACCAGGCAGACAAGCTCCAACAGCCCTTCATGCTGCACAGAGCAGCACTGAGGCCACACCACTGCCCTCAGTCTCGGTTCTGTGCCATGAGCAGCTCCCAATGGCAAATCAGCAAATGAGGCTGCAGGACACACAGCAGCTGCTGACGGATTACACACCCACAGGTTTTAAAATTAACATCACGCACACAGAAATCCACGTGTCACGAGGTCAGGCTCAGAAAGGTTCCTGCAAAGAAGGCTGCTCATTTTTCCTTACTTAACCCTCACCACTTTACCTTGCCCAGTGGGAGGGAATGCACTGTAATTCCCTGAGCCACCAGACGTACCAGCAGGAGACAGACCGCTGAGGACCCCCAGTGGGCACCAGCTGTGATGTCCTGCACGGATCTGGGACACCTGAGGTTGTCAGGTTCTAATGCTGATTGGATAGACACGTTGGTTGTGCCAGGGACTGACAGCAACATGTGCCAGGCCAGTGGTACTCCCAGCCAGCACCTCCTGTTTGTCTGACTGCCTGTTCAAGTATCACTGATGCACAATCACATCCCAAGGCCTGATACTGTTCTGACAGAACACAGCCATCCTACAGGAAACAGCATGAACTAGCAAAGCTCAGGTCAGGTCCTGCTGCAGGTCAAAGAGGATAAGGAGATGACAACATCGTGGGGACTGCTGGCCTCCAGCCCACCACCCCAACTCTTTCCTTACTTTCACTGACACACCAGAAGGATGCTGGGGGGGAAAAAAATAAAACAACCAACCAGCAAGAGCTCACTGCTACTTCACGGAACATTTTGGGGTGAGAATACTTGGAAGCAGCACCTCTGGTATCCACCAAGAAGCTGCAGTCCCTCCAATGCTGTACTTTGTTCAGAGTTATTCTGCACAACCCCAGGCCTTGCTTCAGCACCATCACTGCCTGAGCTGCTCATTTTGTTGTGGCCTAACACACACACACACACCCTCAACAGCTCAGAAAGTCACCAGCCAGCTCCTTTCTAAAGCAGCATTCTCACCTCCCCACAGATCAGATCAGACACTCTACCTTGAACACATCTTCCACACAGCTGCTGAGCTCTGCCTCTGTTACCAGCACTGTCCCTGCTGACAAATCTTCCTCTGCTATTTCTGAAACAAAGAGGAGAAAAATAAGCACCTCCACATACTGTGGAGTGTTTAAACAAAATGTCAGCCCCTTGATGGCCAGCACCAAAAAGCCCACAGATAATCCTCTTGTCTACCCTCCATGAGGGAAAAACATGGGAAAAGATAAGCCCTCATTAGCTGTGCTAAATATCACTGTGCTGTTGTAAACTCTGCAAGGTTACAATTAAATCAAAACAGACAAAAATTCCTGATGGATTATTCCTTGGAGAACTGCTCGGTCAGTGTGGGGAACTGATGGCTTCCATCCAGAAGACCAGAACAAGACTGTCAGAATGGAAGAGGCTCTCAGAGAGATGGTAGAAGCCCCACAATTTGACCTTACACTAACATGAGTTAAGTGCTAGCGAATACAGTACACACAGCCACCTAGACATATCCATAACCAACAGACCCGGGCTTGCACCCTCACTAGCCACGTCACCAACACATGAGAGAATTCTGATGGAAAAACAAAGACCAGTGGAAAGAGAAATCTGATCCTTCCCTGTTCCAGGGCTCAACATGTCCCCTAGCCAGCTGTTACCTGCTGCATCTGAGCAGCGGAGAAGCGGTGTCAGCAGAGGCTGGAGCAGATGCTTCTCTGCCAGCTGAGGGTGCTCTTTCACCATGGTGAGCAACGTCGTGGTGGCCACTCTCTGGAACTGCCGCGCTGTCAGTTTGTCCTGGATGTGCAGTAAGTCCAGAATCTGAAAGGAAAGTCCACGGTACCACAACAAAACTTAGCAGTTGACTCCATGCAGCTAACGGCAGAGACTGAGGAGCCCCTGCTTTACTGGACATTGGGCACAACACTCCCCACACAGCGGAGAAATTCTTTGTCCTATGCACAGTAGGTGTTTCTGGGCAACCTGAGCCTGCACCACACCCACAGCCAAAACTCCCCAGAAGAAAGCTCCTTGAAATGCAATGCTGAATAGCAGCTCGTGTGATCAGGCAAGGTTGCTGTAGTAAAATAAAGAAAATTCATGAGCAGGGTAAAAACACATCCCACTGGCAGAGCAGTAGGAAAACAGCTCTGCACTGGGGCAGCCAGGCTCAAGTCAGGTGACATTCAAGTATTGACAACACAGATACTGTGCTGAGAGCACTCCCACTTTGCATTCACAGGCAGTCAGCATGCTGTGTGGAGAGCAGAGGGCAGTGCCTACCTGGGGGCACACGTGTTTGTAGTAATCCTCCAGGGAAAGGCACTGCTGAGGGCAGGAAGCCAGGATCTTTGCAACTGCATCACATTTTCTCCAGTCCACAGCTGCTGCTTCAGCATCAGTGCCACCTGCCCCACTCACAGAAAGACAAGAGCAGCTCAGCCTGACTGCAAACAGCAGGGCCCTTTTTGGCTGAAGTCAAACATTTCTGGCCAAAAAATGGCCTTTTAGTTTTTCTTAACCTCCTCAAACCATCTTTCAGGAAACACCTGGGCTGAATGAGGGAAAAGGGAAAACTATTGTCCAAGGCCTTTGACACTGGAAAACAATGTCCATAAATGTCTAGGTGTATGAGAAAGAAAACAGAGGGAGGTTGTGCTTACATAGTTCATGCTGCAGGAGTTCAACAGAATAGCCACATTTAGAAGCAGAATCTGAGCATTACAGAAGCCAGTTTGGCCTAACAAAAGTGTTCCCCATTTCAGTGCGTCCCATGGGATGAATTGTCTCAGACACATAATTAGAGTCTTTTAATCTGCAACCTGAGAAACAAAGAGCAGCACCCAAGCACCCAACTCACCACCAGTGCCCTCCATGATGCCCCGAACCACAGCCTGAAGCCCATTGGGTCTCATCAGCCGTTCTGAAAGCAGCTGGCCACAAAGGCGACGCAGCCACGCTGGAGACCGAGCGAGGGCTGGCTTTGTTTCTTCCCCAGCAGGATGACTCTGAAAGGAAACAAAGGAGCAAGCTAAGGAGCGAATTCTCCCCGGTGCACATTTGTGGGCAAACCCTCACTAACAAGCAAAGCAGCCTGCATCCTGCCCCACAGGACTTGATACCACATAGGAGCAGAGGTTGAGGAAACATTGAAAATCACTTCATCCAGGGGCACAAAGCAAATTAAGGCTTAATGAGAGAGACCAACCTTCCTGGGAGCATCCTGTCATGGAGAGCTTCCCTCCTTTAATTAAAACCTCCCAGGATCAGGCAGCAGCTCTGTCTCATTACTGACACAGGGGCTCATGGGATAAGTCAGGTTCAATGTACATAAGGGGGGGGACAGAAGTGGTGAGTCACGCTCCTGGGCTGCCCTGGCTGCAACCCAGCTAACATTGCCCATATTCTTCTCCCCACTGCTAAGAAGCAATCTCTAAAAAGGCCGCAGACAGCAGCAGGAGCCAAGGCAGCAGACAGCTCTGCTTCACCAGAACTGCCGCAAAACCATCCAGGTGCAGGTGTGCCTAAACTGACCCCGCACCTTGCTATCTGCAGGTAGCAGCTTGCTGCATCCTAGGACAAGGTTGAGCAGCTGCCCCAAACAGGACAAGAGGTAATGGCCATAAGTTGCACCAGGAGATGGTTCTGCTGCCTGGTACCTGCTTGGGGCCGCCCTGCAGGATGAGCAGCTCCCGCACTGCCAGAGGCTGATAGACACGGTCCAGAATGTGCTGCAGGGCCTCCCGGCTCTGTGCTCGCTCTGCTTCTGAAAGGCCCTGGAAAAACACAAACCCTGAAGTGGTGAGGGCAGCCTGGCCACGAGCACTGCGCCTCCACACGCCCGGCACCCAGCTCCCACGTTGTACGTGCAACAGGGCTTTAATCTGTTCTTTCACACCGAGACACACGCGGCTCAGAAGCAGCTGCCAGGAGCAGCGCCGCACGGGGACTCCGGGCATCCCCAAACCCCGACCGCTCCACAACCAAAACCCCAGGCCCGCGGGGACAAACCCGCACAAAGGAGCGTTAGGCCGGGGACCACCGACCTCGCAGTGCGCGGCAGGGCCGTGGCCCAGCAGGCAGAGGGCGGCGAGGAGCGGGCCGAGGTGCTGAGCGAGCAGCGGGGCAGCGAGCGCGGGGTGCTGGGCCAGCTCCAGCAGCGCGGCGGTGGCGGCACGGAGCCGGGCCCCGCGGGCGAACCCCAGGGGCGGCGGCGCGGGGAGCCGCCCCACGCCCGGCGGCAGGTACGGGGCCAGCCCCAGCCCCACCGCGGCCCGCAGCGCCCGCCGCACCGCCCGGCCCTGCACCGCGCTCAGCGTGTCGGCGGCGGGCGGCGGGGCGGCCCCGGGGGCGGCCGCGGGGGCGGCGGGGGCGGCGGACAGCGCCGCGAGCCGCTCCTTCAGGCACAGCAGCAGCGCCAGCACCGCGCACGCCGCGGCCCACGCCGGCTCGGCCTCGGCCTCCGCCCCGGCTGCCAGCGCGGGGGCCCGGCCCAGCACGGCGGCTCGCAACCCGCGCAGCGCGGCCCAGCCGGGCTCCCCGCGCAGCCGCTCCTCCAACGCCGCCGCGTTGTCGCGCAGCGCCTCCAGCCGCAGGGGAGCGCCGTCCGGCCCGGGCCCCAGCAGCAGCTCCAGAGCCTCCGCCACCCGGCCCGGCTCCACCGCGCCGCCCGCCATCTTGCGGCCGACGCCAAGGGGCGGGGCGAGGCCTGCCGCCGCCATCTTGGGGAGGTCGGGCGGAGGGGCGGGGCTATGCCGCACGCCGCCATCTTGCAGGCAACGGGAGGGAGAGCGGCGTCGCCTGCCGCCATCTTGGGCAGGTCGGGGTGGGCGGCGCCATCTTGGGTCCGGGCTGCGTCCTGCTGTCCACGTGCAGGCTGCCGCGGCGCGGGGTGTCGGCACCGCTCGTGGTTTGCTGCGGAGAAGCAGGTTGGGCACGGGACGCCGCCGTCCCCCAGCCCTACACAGCCTCCTCCTACCTAGCCCAGCACCACCCCGCAGGCCCAGGTGAGGGCTGGCAGCTCTTTGTCTGTCCCTGCTTTCCAGTCCCGCGTTGCGCGGGTCCAGTAGCGCTCAGCGCTGCGGCAAAGCGGGTATTTCAGGAAAGCTCCCACCTGCCAGGTGCCACCTGCGGGCACGGGAGAGGGATAACCCACGCAGCTGCCCCATCTCAGCAGCAGCCTTGTTGTGATCAGCGTGTGGAGGAGGACTGCGAGGTGAGGAGCGTTCCCAGGGCTGCTGCCAAGTGTTCGCTGCCTTTGGAGTAAACAGATAAGGAGTGCGCTGCAGAGCACGCAGTTCAGCACCTTGCCTGGCTCGGGCTGTAGCCAGAATGTACACGAATGAATCCTCAGCTTGTCTTCTGGGTGGCTGTGTGGCTAAAGGCACGCAGGCTCTGTGGGGCATTGTTCTGGTTTGTGTTTCCTTATAGGGCAGTGAGCAGAGCCATTACAGGCTTGGGCAAACATCAGCGATAGCAGCCTTGCCTGTGCCACAGTCCCACGCAGGTCAGTGGGGCAGGGCGTTATGCACAGGGTGCAGCTCCTGGGATAAAGAACTTTGATGTGAGTCCAATTTTCACACAGTCTGCTGCTCTTCCCTTCCCTAGGGCCTGCCTAGGCAGCAGAGTAAAAACTTGACTGCTATTAGATACGGTTGTGCTTCTCCTCAGCCTTGTGCTGGGAAAACACGTGCTCCGATATGAATCCATCTCCTCTTGAGCAGAGTTGATATAAAGAACAGGGCTGCAGTTAGCATTTTGTTTCTCTCTGGCACTTTGGAGGCAGCAGCAGCCACAGCCACTCCAAGGAAGCACCATGGGGCAGCGCTGCTGGCAGAGGCAGATGCAGAGAACAGAGCTGCTGGTTTTCTTACAATTTATTCTTTCAATTTTATATAAAAATCATTCCATCAATTAACACTTAGACAATTGCTGGCCTTGCAGCGTGCATCGGGCCCTTTTCCCATATTTAAAATACAAAACAACAGCTAGACACGGAGTTCAGAGTTTAAGTAAAGCCACTTGATTTCAGAAAGCACCTCTCATTAACAGAACAATAATTACAAACGACATAGATGGAAATAACATCATCACCTGTTATACAAAAAAATAGAAATCTGCCTGTAAGTACTATATCAAATATAATTCTCTCGTGTATCATGCAAAGAGAATGGCACATCATTGGGCTGTGTGATTGATCACCCACCCTGCGCTGCACATGCATGAGCAGCTCCACACAAAGGCATCCCAACCATCCCAAACCCTGAGCGTGGCGGTGATGTCGGGGTTGGGAGCACGAGGTATTATGGAGAGTGCTGGAGAAACCCCTTCCTCTGTAGCAAAGGGAGAGAGGCAGCGGGGGCCTCTTTCCTTGCAGGGGGAGAGATGCTGAGCACCAGCCATGCGGTGGGGGCTGTGGGATTCAGGCACTGGGAGCTGACCCAGGAGCAGCGCACCTCCAGGCCAGGGAGCGCCTGCCACCAGCCTGTTCCCAAGGTGCCCTGTGTGGGGCTGAGAGGGCAGGAAAAGCGTGGGCTCCCCAAAAGCCTCCAGCCCCGGTGACCCTGAGCTTTCCCTGCACCGAAGGGGAGGGATGCGAGTGACAGATCCAACGCTGTTGGAGGGGGCTTTGGCTGCAACAGCCAGTGCATGTCCGAGGGGGTGAAACGGCAAGAGCCATGTGGCGGGCCAGCCAAGGGGACAAGGGCTGCCTAGTCATCGTCCTCCCCGCCGCCATAGAGCTCCGCCAGCTTCTTGAAGCGGTTGCCCCACTCGTTGAGGTAGTCGTAGTCCTGGTCCTGGTCGGAGGCGGAGGAGTTGAGGGAGCTGAGCGAGGTGGCCTCCGAGCCGCCGCCCTCGTAGTCGAACACCAGCAGCGAGTCGTAGGGGGGGGCCGTGGGGTCCGTGTCGGCCGCCTTCAGGTTCTGGGGGGGACAGAGGAAGGGCTCACCCGCTGCTCCCCCCGGCCTCAGCCCTACGGGATGGGAACGCTGCGGGGCAGCCCAGCAGAGCCAGCACGGACGGCTGGGGCTCACCTCATCGATGAAGTTTCCGATCTCATCGGGGTTGGCGGGCCGGGGCCGGTACTGGGGGGCGGCCATCAGCGGGGGGGCCACATCATTGCGGATCACCTCGGGACGGGCGTCCAGGCCGCGGTGCAGCTGGCTCAGGTCGTAGTCCTGTGTGGGGACGGAGCAGAGAGCATGAGAGGACAGCAGTGTGACGCTTGAGGGAGGCTGTAGGCACTGCTGCTCTGGGGCAGAATGAACCAGGGGCTTTGCAGGGGGGATTGAGAGCTTTGTGCTTGCCAAACATCCCTCATGGCTACAGCAGGACCCTGGAGGACCATCTGCCATAGGGACAGTGCTGCAAGGATCCCGTGGGCAGCACTGTGAGCCGGCACGCAGTCCCACCTGGTCCTCCTCGCCGCCGCCCTCCTCATCGTAGTTGTAGACATTGTCCCGCATGTCATCCTCGGGTGGCAACAGTGGCTCCTTCTCCACTTTGCGTCGCCGGGCAAAGAGCAGCAGCAGCAGCAGCAGAACTGCGAGCAGAGAGCATGGCATCAGGGCCGCGAGGGGAAAGCAGCCCCATCCACATCCCCATCACACCATACTCACTCAGCAGGGCCAGGATGCCCCCCAGGATGCCCAGGATGGCAGGGACGCCCAGCCCACCGACGATGTACGACCTCCGCTCGCAGTTCTTGGCTGTCCCTTCACACTCACACACCTGGGCTTTCACCTGTGTCACCTGCGCCTTGCCCTGGCTGTCCGTCAGCTTCAGGAAGATGTTGTACTCGCCCGGCTCCAGCTCCTTTTTCAGGCTCAGGGCCAGCTCATCTTGTGCAAGAGAGAGGAGATCGGGCTCAGAGCTGTCCCCAGGTGTGGGGACACTATCAGGGCTCTGCCCCATGGCAGCTCCCCATCATGCAAGCCAGCAGAAGCTCAGTGCTGGTGGCATTCAGGGTAGCACAGAAAGGCAGGATCTGGCCCTTGCTCAGTGTCCCCTCATTGCCCTGCACCCCGCAGCACCTACCTTGGCCCCTTATCGCAACAGTCCAGTTGTTGCTGGAACCATGCTCCAGTGCTGCCTTGAAGGGGTAGGTATGTGGGGGCAAGTCCTTGTCAACAATGCTCAGCATCTGCTGCTCCGGCTGCCGACTGCAGATCTCAAAGGACCGGGGCTCTGGCGTGGGCCCGTTGTCATTCACATCCTGGAGGAGCAGCAGCAGCGTCCCCGTACCGGTGGCATCCGGTATCCCTACAAAGCCAGACATTAGTGAGGTGGAGAGCCCACATCCCCAGAGCTTCCAGCTGCCTACAGTGGAGGCACAGCCTCACCATTGTCCACAGCCAGGATGATAGCCTTGTATGTACTGTTGATGGCGTGCACCGACTCGCGGTCCAGTGGCTGGGCAGCCGTGATGATGCCGTTCTCCTGGTCAATAGCCAGCCAGCCTGCCGGGTCGCTGCCCATGCGGTACCTGGGCGGAGGGAGCTGTCAGGGGGGGTTCAATGCCCATCCCATGCTCTCTCTCTGCCAGCCAAGCCCCCACTCACGTGATTTTCTGCCTCACGTCCCTGTCAGGGTCTTGGGCTGTGTAGGATGTAACCTCGTGCCCCACTGGTAGGTCCTCTGATACCCCCACCCTCTTGATAGGGGGCACAAAGACAGGAGGCTCATTCACGTCCAAGACAGTCACCAGGACACTGGCGGTGGACAGTGTGATGGGCACGGACAGGGGCACTTTGTTCTCCACCGTCACCACCAGGTCATAGCGGTTCTTGGTCTCGTAATCCAGGCCCTGCAGGGTAGGGAAAGGGGTTGAGGTGGCAGTGGGGCTGGTGGGGACATGGCCCACACTGGGGCCATCGGCAGTGACGTGACTCACCTTGGCTGTCCTCAGGATGCCATTGTTGGTGCTGGGGTCGGTGGTAATGCTGAAAGCACCATCCTGGTCTCCACTCTTGATGTGGTAAACAGCTTGCCAGGCTGGGGAGCCTGGTGCGTCTTGGTCCGTCACGGTCAGCCTGGCCACCTCTATACCCGGCTTGTTCTCTTCCACCACCCCTTCATACTGCAGAGAGGGCACAGGGGTGGTCACATGTGGGCAGCCTGGGGAGGGCAGCAGCTGGTGGGAGCCAGCAAGGGTGAGGGAGCACATACCATGGTAGGTTTGAAGATGGGAATATTGTCGTTGGCATCCGTGACCTCAATGATGGCCGTGGCAGTGTTGGACAGGCCCTTGCCCTCCTGGTCCGTGGCCTGGACAATCAGTGTGTAGTTGGGAGTGGTCTGCAAGATGAGGTCACACCATCAGAGGCCCCGCGTCCCCATAGCGCGTCCCACCACCCCTCTGTGCGTGGGCTGTGTGCCTGCCGTGGGGCACGAGGAGAGCGCCCACCTCCCGGTCCAGCCCCGTGCCCAGCACGCTGATGATGCCCTTGGCCGGGTCGATGGTGAACATCTGCGGGTGCGGGCTGGGCGGCTGCTGGCTGACGATGGAGTAGCTGACGATGCCATTGTCGGTGTTCACCGCGTCGTCCGCGTCCGTGGCGTTCACGGTCATCACGGAGGTGCCTGGGCAGAGCGAAGAGCCGGGCAGACGTCACTCATGGGACGCGGCACCGCCGCCCCCAGCACCGCTCCGCACCGGGGCTCCCGGCCCCCCGCCCGCCCGCCGGTCCCCGCACCCGGCTTCGCGTTCTCCTCGATGTAGCCGACGAAGACCTCCTTGATGAACACGGGCCTGTTGTCGTTCTGGTCCATCACCGTGATGATGATCTCCATGGGGTCCTCCACGGGCTGCCCGCTGGCCGACACGGCGTGGGAGAAGAGCTGCGGGGGCACCGTCAGCCCGCACGGCCCCGCACCGCCCCGCCCGCCCCGCGGCCCCCACTCACGGTGTAGCGATCGATCTTCTCCCGGTCCAGCTGCTCGGTCACCTCCAGCCACCCCGTCTCGCGCTCGATGACGAAGATGCCCACAGGCGGGCTGTCCGCGCCCTGCCCCGTGATGCTGTAGTACACCTTGGACTCCTTGTCCTTGTTGGATTTGATCTGGCGGCGAGGCGGGGCGGTGAGAGGGGACACCCGCGGGCCGGTGCCCGTCCCCGTGATGCTGCGCTCAGCCCGGCCGGGGGGCGGCTCGGCCCTCAGCCCCGTACCTGCACCAGCTTCATGGGGTAGGGCCCCCGGTGGTTCTCGAGGCAGCTGATGGGGGGGATGACCCAGTCCCTCTTCTGCCTCCGGAGGAAGCCGGAGTCGTGCTTGGGGAAGGTCAGCACAGCTGGCGTCATGTCCTGCAGGAACAGCGGCTCGTCTCGGTGCCTGCGGCGGCGCAGAGCAGCCCAGAGGCACGTGCTGTTCTCAGCCCCAAAGAGTGGGGCTGCAGTGACTGTGGGGATTTCACTTCACCTGCAGGTGGTGGTCGTGATGGTGGCGGTGCCTCTGCCTGCCCACAGTCACCCGGGCTGAGTGCCTCTTGCCCGTGGCGTCCCGTGCGTAGATGATGAAGCTGATCTTCCTCCCATGGAGCATCAATGGCCGTTTCGTTGAGACGGTGCCATCCACATTCACCTTGAAGCGTGTATCAGTCGGGAAATACACGGCCCACGGCCGCCCACCGCAGGCTGCAAAGCTCACTGCGGGCAGAGGGAGAGCGTGGGCAGGAGCCCCACCGTGCACAGCACATCCCCGTGCACAGCACATCCCCGTGCACACCAGCATGCACAAGAAAGCATAGGCACAGAGCATCCCTTCACACTGCACTGTGAGCAGTGCAGCCTATGTGTGGCACATTGTACAATCATAGAATTGTTCTGGTTGGAAAACACCACTGAGATCCCCAACCCATCCCACCATGACCATTAACTGCATCCCTCAGTGCCACATCTCCACAGTCCTTGAACACCTCCAGGGATGGTGACTCCACCACTCCCTGGGTAGCCGATGCCAACACATCACCGCTCTTTCAAAGAAAGTTCTCCTAATACCCAACCTCAATGTTATCCATCCTTGCCACATGGCATGGTGTGTCCATGCAGCACGTGTCCCCATAGCACCACTGCTGCCCTGCTCGTGGCAGTGGGCAGAGGGTGCTGTGCCGCTGCTCCGGTTGCTTTTCAAATCAAAACAAGGGCTGTGTCTGGCTCTGATATGCTGGCTCACGGCCACACCAGCAGCCGACTGGGGCACGAATCTGTGCGGTGGGGAAGGTGCACCCAAAGATGTGTGACAGCAGCTGTGGCATCCCTGCTGCCCAAACATCTGTGCAGACCTCTATCCCCTCTGCCGTTTGGGGTTCTTTTGGGACAGATGGCACCCCGGTGTCACCCCTCTGGGTCACGG